TACCCTCACTTTTTATACACCCCTGGACTTTTTTTTTTTTTAAGAGTTTAATTGTTTATTTCCAGAGAGAGGGGAAAGGAGGGAGAAAAAGATCAATGTGTGGTTGCCTCTCAAGTGCCCCCACCCAGGGACCTGCCCAATAACCCAGGCATGTGCCCTGACTAGGAATCGAACCCACAGCCCTTGGGGTTGCAGGCCAGCACTCAATCCATTGAGCCACACCAGCTAAAGCACCCCTGGACTTTCTTAAAGCAGACAGAAGTAACCCTTAGTTTCCCATCATATTAGTTTTAATGGCTCTTTTATTTTATCACGTGAGAGGTATTTCTGAAACCCAAACTATTTCCAGAGTAGGTTTAGGTTCATATTCTGGGATCAATTGGTTAAGCTACTAACCAAGTTCCAGTAAAGTCAGCATTGGGTCATTATACTTTTGTAGATAACTCAGCAGTTGGTTCGAAGCTCTCTGAACTGCTGATTTAGGCACTGCATAGCATTTGGAACACACTTAAATCAATAAAAAGTAGCTGAGTCACTAGAAGGTGTACAAAAATCTGAAAATATACTTCAATACATTACCAAAATTTACATAAGATTAGTTTTTATGCAAATCTATGTTTTTATCCTCATGAGATTTAACACTATTTGAAAGAGTTCTGTGTTACTAAAAGTGGAGGAACAAAAACTGAATTCTAATTTATCATGCCACAATGCAGATCGCTGCTGTATATGCCAATATTATTATTCTAATCATAATAACAGAAATGTTAAGACAAATAAAATACATATATTGGGTCTGTCTGCAAGTAATGTAATATAAAGCAAATATTAAACATATCTCTTACGATTAGCTCCTCCCTGGAAACTGTAGGTACTCACAACTGAGGGACAACTGTTTAACCTCAGATATGTGACAAAGTGGCACTACGCATCTCAGCGTACTCACACCTGCAAAGCATATTTTTAAACAAAGGTCATATCCAGTCCATCTGCCTAGCTAGGCGTTTAAGTGGATTTCTTAAGAACTTAAATTGCCGCCCTGGCCAGTGTGGCTCAGTTGCTTGGTACATTGACCTGAACACGAGAAGGCTATGGGCTGACTCCCTGGGTTCCATCCTCGGTCAAAGCGCATATGGGAGGCGACCAATCGATGCTTCTCTCTCTAAAACCAGTGAATATATCTTCAGGTGAGAATTGGGGGAAAAAAAAGAACTTAATTTCCCTCCAGGAAAAATAAGGAAGATATACTATTCCTATGTACCCTGCCCAGGACACAAAATTTGACAGTAAAAAAATAAAGGAAAAACTTATTTCAAATATTCTTTACCTAGTAACCTAAGAACTTACAAGCTAATTATATTATAAAATACTAACACACTGATAAATGAGGTAAAAATTCACATTTTTAAGACAACTTAATTATAAAGTAAAAAAAGGAAACACACTGAGATCCATCGATGTGATAAAAGATTTTCTCGACTCCCCACAGCAGCCCCATACGGAGGCCATCACTTCTACAGGTGGAAAAAATGAAGCTCAAGGGTAACCCCTGACTGTGACCTCTGCCAAATGTGAATATCTGGCTCTACCATTTAAGCATTTTCTACTAAGCTGAAAGAACGGCACTTGAAATTATTAAACTTAGTTCAAAGGTTATTTACCTAGGAAATTATGAATAAAAATGCTAGAATAAAAATTGAGGTTCTCTAATCACCATGTCCATAACAAATGCTTCAGCTTTAAATTTTCTTCATTTCTATTTTTAAGTTTTTAGGGTTACTTTTAAGTTTCCTCAGTAATTTCTAAAATGCCTCAGATAGGTAGGAGAGAAATTTGTTTAACTGCTTATACAATTTATATCACTAGATATTGTAGTATTAGATCCAAAATCAGAAGGTACTTTAAAACTAGCAAAGAATTTAAAAACATGAATTTTTGAATGAAGAGCATGCAGTTTTTAAAGCTAATAAATGTAAAACTATGAAAGCTGAACTTAGTAAGCATGTGAAGAGTGAAAACTAAATTGTTATTTTTCTGTTAATCTTGAAACTAACCACAATCTTAAAAGAGCTGAAAATTTCCACAATCTCTCAGTCTTTTAAGGCCTAATACTTTTTCTCATGTTACCAGATGATGATTCTGGATGATCAAAATGGAAGATTTTTCTGTAACAACCTGTCCTTCCCCAATTCAAATGACAAGAAATAGCTTCATTTTTGTAAAGGCAAATATAGTATGTGTCTTTATAGAAATGTAAAAACCTGCAAACTTTACTAACTTCAGAATTATATGAAAAATTTTAAATGTTAAATATAAAGTTCTTAAGTATATCTGTATCATTTTTAGGTTACAATGCATGTACAGTGCATTTATTTGCTCCATTATGTCTAGAAAATGTCTTCAGAGAGCTTTTCTGTGAAAAACAGAAGTTAAAATAGTTTAAACACAAGCCCAGCACCTAAAGTAGCCAGGCTGTGGGGTCCAACATTCCCCACCTAACTGTACAAGGTCCTTAAACTCCTTGTAAATTTTAATTTACCCATAAATGAAATTGTTACTTCATAGGATTGAGGATTAAATGAGATAATGTTCTAGGCTTGAGACAGCAAATAACACACAGTAAATAATCAATATTAATTTTCATCCTCGCTGAAATGAGTCCTAATCAATCATGGATGCAGAAGGCTGAAATAAATTACAGATTTGAAAACAGACATTATTCTAACATGCTAAGGGCCAGAAAATGTCACCAGAGAAGCGGGTTCCTTAGAGACTAAATCATTAGATTAATGACGCATCTAAAAAAATAGAGAACGGGTCGAAGTTATCTCTTTAAAGTCCATATGGCTGTTTCCACATAATGCTCAAGGTCTGTTCCTGGATTCAGGGTTAATAAAAGCACAACGGATTCCCATTTGAACTTCTCCCCTCCTGGTAGCAGGTGAAGGATCCACCAATAGCAGATGATAAATGATACTTTTCGTAAGAAACGCCGATTCCCTGAGCTAGCTCTTCGGGTCTGACCACAAAGGGTGGTTTTGCTTCATTACTTAAACTTGAAGGGAGGGGTTAAAGGACGCCAGGCGGTTGCCCAGTCAACCACCCATTTCCTCCTGGGGCCCGGAAGTGACGCAAGGCCCGGAATCTACGCTGTGCCAGGGTCAGCGATATGCCAGTAGCTGGCTGTGTCCTCGTCATAATTGAGTGGTTGGGAAAGACTCGAAAAAATCGCCACAAACATCTTTCAAACCCCAACACTGACTCTGCAAGGGGCGGGCTAACGTCCCGCACGGCTCCGACGCTCGCCCAACCAGCCACTTCTGCCCAAACCTTGCAACGACCAGCCATTACCGAGGCGGGCGGGAGCGCGCGTCCGCGCCCCTCCGGTGTCTACGTCACGCCCGCAGGCCACGCCCCCAGGAACAGGGTGCCCTCCCCGCCACACACACCCCTCTTCCTCTACCCGCAAGGACCCCTCCTCTTTTAACCATTTCGCTGAAGGAGCAAGGAACAGGCTATAGTCCGGAACTCTCCCCGGGGCGGGAGAGGGGTAGGGACTCCCCGATTCCCGAGCCGGGAGCCAGGGAGCGGAGGGTGGGACCTCCTCGGAGTCCGCCTTCGCGGTCCAGTCTCGCTCCCTCCCCCCGCACGTTCCAATGCATATGCTCTCAGGGAGTAAGGGCCAAAGGGGGCTGGGGGAAGCCAGGCCCCGGAGACCTGCGGGAGCCCGGACACTCACTCCTTACGGTCACAGCCCGGCTGCACGCTCCGTCGCCAGGGCAGGAGGGTCTGCGGCACGGGGCAAGCCAGCGCCGGAACAAATGCTTGCTACTTAAAATGGCTGATTCCCCTCCACGCCAGCTGCAGCCGCTGGGTCTGCAGCGGGGGCTGACAAGCAAGCCCCCACCCCCAACCTTGAGATCCCACCGAAGTCCTCGCCGACTGCAGCAGAGGAATGGAGGGCCGCGAGCCCGGTCTCCCGTCCCTTTCCCTGGTCCCACACACCAGACCCGCTCTCTGCACTCGAGGACACTGTCCCAGGAGAAAAGGAAAGTGTCACTTCCTCGGGCAAGCTCCGAGCGACCGTGCCCGAAGGCCAGCGGGTCCGATAGAGAGGAAGACCCGCATGGGCAGCCGCGCGGCCCCCTACCTTGATATTTGTTGTCCAGCTCCCGCAGCACAGACACGTTCCTCTGCATATCGTGGGGCAGCGACTCCACACACTCGAGGTAGTCCTGCACGTAGCAGGTGAGGAGCCGGCTCCGCTCCCCGGTCAGGATCGCCGCCGACGAGTAGAGTTGCTGCTGCTGCTGCTGCTGCTGCCCTAACATCCTGCCGCTGCTGCTGCCCCTCGCCGCCGCCGTCGCCGCCGCCTCCGCATCCAGCAGCCACACATGCAACAGCCACGGCCGCCGCGGCCCCTCTGTTCCGCAACCCGGCGCCCCGGGCACACCGGCCGTCGCTTAGGAGGGCACAGCCGAGTCCCTCGATCTCCACTCCCCCCAAAAGAAGCCCTCACTCCCCGCCCCCGTGGTAACAAGCCCAGGGGCGGGGCGAGATCAGGGCACCCTCCTTTTTGCCCTCCCTCCCCAGGACTAGAGCAGCGGGGATCCCCCAAGCGGAGCTCGCGCCGGGGTGCCGGGCGTTGACACTTCCTGCCTTCCTCGGAGTCCTCAGATGCTACCAAAGACGTCTCGTAGCTCGGATCCCCATGACAAGCCCTCCACTGCCCCCTTTTCTCCCAATCACCCTCCGAGCCAGTCGGAGAGTCTCTCACTGGACTGCCCCCGCCCCTCCGCCTGCGGCCACCACTGCGCCTGCGCAGGACGCACTCCTATTAAGGCCGGGGGCCCGCCTCTACCGCCCTACCAAAGGGTTCGCATTCTCCCGCCTTCCCTCCTCCACCCGGGCGATTGGTCTGTCAGCTCTTAGTCGGGCCAAACGGCAGGCTTCGCCCCGCCCTCTCTTAAAGGAGAAAGACTGTCAGCCCCACCTCTGCCCAGTGTCGGAATAGAATTTGCGAGGAAGGCTGGCTGACTTTTTCCTTCCATCTTTCCCCCACAGGGATCGGGAAACTTGGCCCGGTTCCCTCGACGTACTGTTACCGATTTCTTCCCCATCGGTGGATCTAGCGCGGCCCTTCGCAAGCCTTAAAAGGAGCAGCGGGCGGCCGCTTTTCGCTGCAACCTGCAGTGAGTGACGCCTAAAGGGACTACGCGACCCAGGATGCAGCGCGCGGCTCCCGGCTGCGCCGCGGCGGTGTTCCCGCCAGGCAGCCGCCTCGCCCTCTCTCCGTCTTGGCGTTGCTCTTCGGTTCGGTCTCTCCTCCCTAGGGCTTCCGTCTCGCCAGGCAGCGGGGGCCTGACCCCGGAGGTAGGTAGTACTCCCGCGTGCCCCCTGCATTTTCTTTCAGTTTGCCAGCCTTTTTAAATCTCCATCCTGGCTTCAGCGTGCTTCCGTCTCCCTGCGCCAAAGTGCCTTGCAGGTTTCGTTCTCCCTCCTCTTTTGGAATCCGGTTTCTTTCAGGCTGCGTTTACTCCGGGAACGTGTTTCACCGGCAGGCAACCTTTAAGAACTTTTTTCCCCCGTGGGTCAGAACGTTTAGGCACTGAATGTCGGCGGGGGCTTACCTGCGGCGTGAGGGGGCACATCGCCACCTTTTCATATCTTTTTACCCTGAGACCAAAAACGAGAGGAAACACAGGGGGTGCAGACTGTAGTCAAATGTAATCGGGAATCAAACCCAGGACCTTAACTACGTGATCGACTGTCTCATCTAATTTCTGTGTAGATGGTCTCCAAGTATGTACAATAATTTGTGTTTGTGGAAGAATTGGATAGAAATAGAACGAATACATAGATAGTTTTAATGGAATATCTGAGGGGAACCTCGGCCAGCAAAGTTCCCCAGGGGAGGGGCGGTGGGGGGAGGGGGCGCTGTAGATGGAAACAAAGAGTCCTTCCCTCCGCATTCCTATTGCACTGGCGCGAACAGGGGTGGCGATTCCCTCTAGTGGAGAATGCCCGAGCCCGTCTAAACGCTTTTTATTAGGTTGGGGAAGTGCAGAGGGATACGGCGCACATGCACAGGACATCAGTCAGTGTCCAGCAGGCTATAGTCATAAAAAAGAACTAACACTATGTATAGATAACAATTAAAGAAACACAGAAATCTTTTCAGGTTGGGGTCTGTGAGACATGCAGGCGCCAGACAGCTGTAAAGGCGAATATCACGAAGTGGGAGTTTCACTCCTTATGCCTTGAACTCAAGCATCTGGGTTATACCAACAGGGTTTTGTCACTGAGCAGAGCCAGCTTCAGAGGACAAAAATGTACATTTCAGGCCTGATTCCCACGGACCCTCGGTGTTAGAATGGAGTCATGCCTGCCTGTGTTATGACCTGGTTTTCCTTGCTCTCTTGGGGCTATAATCTCCAAAACCACACTGGGGAGTCCCCAACAAATATCTATGTAAACAACTCCTAATGTGAATAGTACCCTTGAGTTACTGAAAAGAAAACACGAATAGGTGATAAATTTGGGTGTTTGCAGTGGTGGTATGCCTGTGTGGTGACCTATTCAGAGCACTGTTGAAACAGCTATTAATAGTAAGTCACCATTTGACCTGTGAAATCTAAACCTTGATCTAGAGCAGGGGTGTCAAACTCATTCTCACCAGGGGGCACACCAGCCTCACAGTTGCCTTCAAAGGCCCAAATATAATGTTAGGACTATAGAAATGTAACTACTCCTTAACTAGAGGAAAGGACCTCGGGGCTGCCGCTGGGTAGAATCAAGGTAGAGCGTCAGATTTGGCCCTCGGGCCTTGTGTTTGCCACCTGTGATTTAGAGGAAATATTAAATTTCAACCCAAGACTAACTGAAAGGACAATAGCCCCTGTCGGGCCCTTTTTACCAGAGCTAGCTGTCCTTTCCTTGGCCCTGTCAGCCATAACTAACTTGTTTTTCTCTCTCTCTCCAGACAGATTGTATCCGGGCCAACTAATTTCATCCACAACCGGGAGGACTCCGAGGGACGGGGTTGACCTCATCTGTCACTTGAACAGAGACCCTTGATTCAGGGCCTGCATCAGCTGAGAGGCTAAGAGCCATCATTGCAGAAGGCACGCAAAGACAGACGGTATTCAGCGCCTTCATCCCACAGTAAGGGACAGTGGTGTCAGCGCTTTTGGTTAGGCCACTGGTGTGTCTTCAATGAGGGAAAGGGGAATTTCTTTCAGAGCCACCTCTTGGCGGCCTTTTGGTTTCAGTCTTCCTTCTCCTTCCACTTCCAGGTATACTAGGAAGTCACCATGAGCTAATTTACGAATAGTCCGAACTCGAATGAGTGATCTAGGCCCGGCTGGACTCTGAAGATAAGAGGCATTTCCTCCCTCTGGCCTGAGTTTCTGGGTGTCCCTGTGTGAGTATGGGCCTAGCAGAGGTGTCGGGTCAGTTCCCAACACATGTAGGGGTCTCATAGTTATTTCCAATCACTGTCATATAACTTTTGGCTTGTCCGGGGATGTGCGATGTAAGGCTCGGTCACTCAGCACTCCGAACTCTCCCAGCTGTTGTAGACGACGGGGAGAGAGACTGAGACATGTAAGAGAGGCAGGGACGACCGAGGGGTGACACCCTTGGGCCCTCCTCACAAGGAGCACACTTCAACCCACTATACTTACCTCCTTTTCCAGCAATTAGCCAGAAGAAGCTTATAGAACTGGGTAGGTGGAACGAGAGCAAGGGAAGACAAAACTGAAAAGTAAGAATACCCCAGCTGCCAAAACGGGCTCGGTACTTTCTAAGGAGCAGAAGAGATGTTTTCAACTGCTTCAGCAGCATTGTAAGACTGTAGGATGTCAGGTTGAAAAACAGAACTTAATTCACTTATTATAGACAATAAAGAGCTAGTGTCCATGGTTCCCAGATACAGGCTCTTTAGATCTAGAAGTATGGGAAGAAGTAGGGCAGAAACTGAAATGGCATTAGGAGAACAGGACCCTTATAGGACATCAGGATTTATTAACCTGGAGCCTAGTGAGAACTGCTCTCACCCCTGTTTATACCAGAAACCCTCATAATCAGGAAAGCTCAGTCACAAAAGAAGGGACCTGTAGGACATCAGCGGGTGTGGTGTCCTACGCCGCCTGTGCCGCCAAAGGAGGAGGATGGCTTCCTTTCCAGCTGTCCTGCAGCCCCACTATGGGACAGCTTGCTGGAGGATCTACCTCCTCCCCGTCCTCTATTAGACCCACCTCCGGCCCTTACCCAGAATACTACCTTCATGCAGCAATGTTTCCAAGGGGCTGTGAAAGCCAGAGACTTGGAATTTCTGTTAGCTTTCTTTGATGTCACTGAACAGTATGGGCAACCAGTATATGAACCTTTGCCTTTTAAAATATACAAAGACTTAAAAGAGAGTATTAAGGACAATGGGCTTCAGTTGCCCTACACCATGAAACTCATGTCAGCCATTGCTGCAGCGTATCGGATGGCCCCTTGTGATTGGATTGCCTTAACTAGGACTGTCCTTGAGCCTGACCGGTTTGCTGCGTGGCATTCAGAATATACTTTTCGCTGCCACCTCCAAGCAGCTGAGAATAACGAAATTGGAAACCCAGTCCAGCTTAACATGCTTCTTGGAACTGACCGATATGAATCTGCTGAAGAGCAGGCGAAAATGAACCCTCAAGCTTTCTCCCAGTGCTCCCAGGCTGCTCTCCTTGCCCTGAAGATGGTTCCGGAAACTGGAGCCCCACCTGCAGGCTCCATCATTAATATTCAGCAAGGAGCCACACGGGCTTATATAGATTTTGCTGACAGATTAATGGGAGCAATAGAAAGGTTGAGAATGAGGTAGTAGCCAAGACCCTTTTATTACTATTGGCCTATGAAAATGCAAATAGTGATTGCAAGGCTATGCTCAAGACTCTCAGACTAACCGCCACTGATATTAGTCAGTTTATCAAGGCTTGCCAAAATGTTGGCACAGAACACCATCGAGCCACATTGCTAGCAGCAGAAATAAAGAGGCAAGTTAAATGCTTTAATTGTGGCAGACCTGGACACACCCGTCGGGAGTGCAGAAATGAACAGAATAACCCGAAACACGTGCCTAGTAATAACTGCCCACGAGGTGGCAAGGGCAAACATTGGGCCAATCAATGCAGATCCAAATATGATAAAGATGGCAAACTACTTCCACCTCAATTTGGAAAGGGGAAGGGGCACACAGACTCTGGTGCCCCAGGCTCCCACAGGAGTGTTCCAGGCAATTGTTTTGAACCCATGGAACATGCCGAGTCACTGATCTCCATGCTACCACAGGGGAAGAGCAGAATTGGACTTGGTTACTACCTAGGAACTCATCTAAGAGAACAGGATAAATCCTCATAGCTCCTACAGGGTATTGCCTGAGGGCACTGTTGGGTGGATTTCAGGAAGATCTAGCATTTCTGCTAAAGGGATTTTAGTCCAGCTCAGGGTAGTTGATTCTGATGATTGGGGAGAAATCAAAATGATGATCAGAGCCTTTGGATATTATGTCATTCCTGCCCAAACTCGCATAGCCCAGCTTCTTCCCTATACAGGGCCAGGTACTCAAAATATTAAGAGAGGGGAAGGAGGTTTTGGTAGCACTAATAACCAGTCTGTTTTTCGGACTGCCTCTGTTAAATAGAGCTCTTTTAGAAGTAACAATCAAAGACAAAACCTTCCATGGCCTGCTAAATATGGGAGTAGATGTCTCTGTAGTTTCTAGCTAATATTGGCCTCCAGATGGGCCCCTGGCAGAGGCTGACATATCCATAACTGGCGTATGAGGCGTTTCTGAACCAGGTAGAACGACTGATCACTCAGATGCTATGGCCTGATGGACAGGTAGGGAGAATTCAGCCCTGTGTTCTTCCAGCCCCACTTAATGTTTGGAGATGAGACCTTCTTGCTCAGTGTGGAATGAAAATCACCCTTGTGTTTTTCCTAGTGGCCACTGTTCAGATACCTCCACTACCCCCTCACATGGCTTTCAGATACGCCTATGTGAGTCAATCAGTGGCCACTAAAAGGGGAGAGGCTAGGAAAAAAACCCATGAATTAGAACAACAGTTAGGAACAGGACATACTGAGCCATCTAGCAGTCCGTGGAATACTCTGATTTTTGTAGTTCCTAAAAAATCAGGAAAATGGAAGCTTATACATGATCTTAGGAAAATTAATGAGGTATTTCATGATATGGGAAGCTTTGAAGAACCTTTGTTTACCCAAACCCCAAGCACCCTAGGAAGAGCGATAGGGCCGTTTGGGAAAGCAAACAGCAGGATATTAACAAGGACTGGGACTAGCACCCCCGCAGTTAGAACTAATTTCCGCATTCCGCTTCTGTATCTCGCTTTGCTACATAGACAGGAAGACCCTGTAGGCTATATAAACCCCAAGAATCCTTTGTTCGGGGCTCAGAATTTGGAGACTGACTCCTATGAGCTTGTGCACGTTAATAAACCTCGTACTCCAGAATCCCTTAGTGTCTGGTTGATTCATTTTCCTGTAACATTTCAACGATTGGGCATTCTCCAACCTGGAGTTCCAAATCCAGCCTGCCTACCTAAGTACTGGCCACTTCTAGTCATTGACTTAAAAGATTGCTTTTCTATAATTCCTTTGGCCGAAAAAGAAAGTGATTTGCTTTCTCTGTCCTGGTTCCTAACAACTCTCAACCACTGCAGAGGTTCCACTGGAAAGTTCTGCCTCAAGGCACGTTAAATAGCTCAACTATCTGCCAACATTTCGTCCACCAAACCTTATATGGTCTGTTTGAGAAAGGTTCTCTAATTCCATAATATACCATTATATGGGCAATATTCTAATTGCTGCCAAGCAGCAATTAGATACTGGCCAAGATCTATGTTTACCTAAAAGAAGCCGTATCTCATGCACGCTTAATTATTGTCCCTGAGAAGGTCCAACAATCGGAACCTTGGAAATATACCTGGGGCATACTCTTTCTCACTGGACAATTCAGCCTCAAATGTTCCAAATCAATCCACTGGAACACCCAACCCTTACTAACCTCCAACAACCATTGGGTGTTATTAACTGGATTCCACCTAGCCTAGGAATTACCACCCATCAGCTTACTCATTTATTCAGTTCCTTAGAAGGTGACTCCTATCTAAATTCCCATAGAACTTTATCCCCCAGGCTTTCCAAGAACTAGACCTTGTCAATCAACATATCAATAAAAGCCAGCTCACAAAAGTTGACCACCAATTTTCCTTCAGGCTATTCTGCTTTCCAACTCAGGATTAAGTGGTCAACTCTTACCTCAGTTAGGCAGGATAGAATGGCTGTTTCTCTGTCATCAGCCTCAACATACTATTACCACTTATAGTACAGCTCTGTGCCATCTTATTAAAGGACATGAGAGAACGTAATAACTTTCTGGTCATGATCCAGCTACCATTCATGTCTCGCTTACCCAAATCTGTAACAGCTGTCCAGTCAGTCTCTAGAATGTCAATGTGCTATTACAGATTTTGTGGGCAAAATAGAAGTTAGCCTGCCCTTGGACAAATTATTACAAAACATCGTCATTCTTAATATTCGTTTGAAAGAAAAAAATTAGTAATACCCCTGTCCCCAGAGCAAGGATTGTTTTCATGGAGAACTCAGGAAAAATGGGGAAAGCGGCCATCACCTGGCAGGAAAAGGAGGAATGGAAACATTTCTTCTACTCAACCAGCTGAGCTCTCAGGAGCCATTATGGCTCTCCAACAGTGGCCTCACAAGCCCTTGAATCTAGTTTGTAACTAGTTATACTGTGTATACTCTGCAGATTCTCCTTAAGGGATCCATTGACCCTCCTCTACTCAGTCTGTTTTTAACCTTGCAAACTTTGATACATAGAAGGAAACATACACTGTTACTCATATGTGTTCCTGTACAGGTCTCCCTGGTCCCATGTCTGACAGCAATGCTGAGCTGACACTCTAGTAAGCATAGTAGGTACCTTTCAAAAGGCTGTTACCTCCCATCAATTTTTTCATCAAAATAGTCACATACTTTGCAAAGAGTTCAAACTCCCACATTCTCGGGCCAAACAAATTATTAAAGAATGTCCTGATTGTCAGGCCTTAGGTAAGGCATCACCCTCTATTGGAATTAAGCCCAGAGGTTTAGAGCCACAAATAATCTGGCAGACTGATGTCACCCATAACCTCCCTTTTGATTTAGTTTAAATTGATTCATGTCTCTATTGATAATTTCTCCAGAGTATTATATACTTCCGCCCTTACAGGTGAATTGGCTAAGAATATCCAGGCTTGAGGCTTTTAGCCATCTAGGCCATCCACAATAAATTAAAGCTAATAATGGACCAGGGTATACAGCCTGGTCTACTCAGGATTTCCTACAAAGATGGGGAATTCAACACAAAACAGGCATCCCTCATAATTCCACAGGCCAAGCAATTGTTGAATGCACCCATCATACATTTAAAACTCTTTTTAACAAAAGGGGGAGCCAGGAAACCTCTCCTAGAAATTTGGTAGTTAGGCATGTATACTTAGAATTTTCTTCTTCATTGTGATAATTCTCTTAACACACTGATGGAGAAACATTTCAGTTGACAAAAAGTAGATAATAAAGGGCCTCATTCCTTAGTGTTGTACAGAAACCCCTTGGGAGAAGGGAAATGGGAGGGGCCAGTTGAATTGTTCACGTAGGGAGGAGGATGTGCTTGTGTTTCAGCCCCTACAGGTCCTGTGTGGCTACCTGCCAAAAAAGTGAAACCTTACCGTGGGAGACCAACTCCATGATCACTTGTGGATAACTCAGACTGAGAGGATCCAGCATCTCCAGGACCTGACCAACCAGCTGTCCCCAGTGGCCGTGACCGAGTGCTGACATCAGATCCGGACCCATCGCCAGAATCGGGAAGCAGGCCATGGGACCGATCCACCACCCAAACCTAAGGGGATAACTTGGGGAGACTTAAAGACCCTCAACAGCAGGGCTGAAGAGGTCATGAAGGGTGTAGGGGCACAGGGCACTCCTGAAAATCTATTTGTAGCCTATTTGTCAGTGGTATCCTCTAATTCCATCAGAACCATGTTGATACTTGTCCTGTTAGTTTGTTTTGGATGCTTGGGCCTCACTGTTGGAACTCAGCACATTTGCTGGGGTCATTTCCTTGATCCACCTGTATTTAAGCTCCATTCTCGGTGGAATTCAGAGCCTCCTTTATCTAACAATGATACCAAGTGCACAGCAGGTGTTTGGCTTCCACCAGACGGACCTTTAGAAGGAAAACGACATTGGCCATCCGTCCTTGAAAATACTGTCTATATGTTAGAACATTTACCAGCTTGTTTTTCTACTTTATCTGACACACTATAACTTTCAAATGGCATGCACATGCCATTGACAGTAAGGAGTCTCAAACATGTTTCCTTAATAGGAGCTGTAGGCTTTAAAAGAGAAAGATAGAGATGACGACAACCCCCCAGACGTACCCCTTTGTGAAATTAAGGCAAAAACCAACTGAGTCTGTTACTTGGTCAGTGTTTAGAGGTTAACTGGCCTCACTCATTGATACTCCTAACACCCCATTAACAGAGGAAAACTGGGGTGCCAAGTGGAAAGTGCTTGCTAGTGTGGGTTTTGCCATCGTCCCTGCCAAACCTAATGCTATTCACAGTAGTATGGGGTAGTATGGTGGGGGAACTGGGGCCCCCATTATAAGAGTCACTTCTTCAAATCACACTACCCCTTGGCATGCTAACACTTGGAAAACGGGACTCCCTTTCAAAGAATGCTTTTTGGGATGTCTTCAATATACAGAAGAGGCAAGGTCCAGAAAGGACTAGTATATTTTAGTGAATGTTAGCAATTACTGGGTTACCATGTATACTTCTCACCCTTTTTCTAGCTGTCCTGGGGATACCTCATCTGACCTATGATAATGATTCTATGATATATAGTCTATACTTCTTCTGGCTCTATCTATTGTAGCTGTCTTACCCACACTAATGTTACTCAACTCAATCTCACTATGGTTTTTGTAGTTTGCAGACAAACAGACGTTTGGCTACCAGTTAATGTTACTCATGAATGGGAAGATCCAGAAGGCCTAACCTCCCTCAACCATCCTCTCTTCCAAGTGGGGGTGTGGTGCTTCCTAGGAACTCTTAGTCTGTATTGTTTCTGCTATCATAGCTGCCTCTGTTGCAGTCACTACTAGCGCTCTAGCTGAGTCCGTCCAAATCGCTCATGCTGTTGATGTTCTCCTTGCCAATACAACTCAAGAAATGATCCAACAAACAGGTATTGACCAGGGGATTCTCGCCGGGCTCTCAGCCATAGAGTTTGCAGTAATATGGCTGGAAAAACAACAGGATGTTCTTTTCACTCTCAACAACTGACTTGTGACCCAGGCCTCTCTAAGCTGTGTTACCCCCCTGAACTGGAACTCCAGTCAGCACTCATGGGAAGAAGTCCAACATTGATTGAGAGGGGCCTTTTTCACTAATCTCAGGGGACAAATCAATCAACTCCAGCTTGAGCTACATCAACAACTCAAGGACATTAAACAATTTACTAAACAGAAGGTCTGTCATGCTCCTGCATGACAAGTTACAATAGCTCAATCCAAAAACTTTGTTTGAAGGACTTAATTTGTATGTCTGGGTCATGGGGGCTACTAGATGCCTCCTGATCATTGTAGTCTTTTGTGCCTTGAGATATATATATATGTTGGGAACCTCCCTGCCTGGTTTCAGGAGCTGTAAGCTTGCCAACGGACAAAAAGGCCCCACGGCTAGGGCACTTTGGGATCATAAGCCACTAAGGAGATAAAACTTATCCTCCTGGCAGGGGCACAGTCTCTGTCCCCTTCACCCTGCTTGGCCCCTGGAGAATGGCCAGATAGTCAATGATGGGTAGAATTCCTCATGGAAGGAACAACCTAAGACAGGTACAGTCGTGAAGGGGCCATCTGGGAAAGACTTAGGGAATTATGGAGGAGGAAAAAAAGACCATCACCTCTCAGCTTTATGATATCCTGAGTCCTCATCAATCTGTAAAAAGTCTCCTAATCTCTTGGCTGCCTTGATTCTCCTGCCTGATTCAGGCCTGAAACAATGCCGAAAGTGGGTGCGGCCCTGTTCTGGGGTGGCAGTTTCTGGGAGCAATCAGACCTGAGAAAGAATGCATTAAATCTTGTGAAACCTGCTTTGTTAACAATGCCCTCAATTCAATGTTAAGGGTCTAAGCACAAAATAAGTTTGTTTCCCCAGGTTTTATGGCCGGTTGGCGTCACCCTGTCTATCAGGCCCTGACTCAAAAGGACCCTTGTGATCCCAGAAATGTTATCTGTAAACCACACCTCCTTTCTTTGATATGCAACCATATGCAAGCTAAACTCAATAAAAGCCCATTGGCAGAGAGCCTCGAGACCCTTTTCCTCTGAGAGATTGGTCAGCCCTTTCTTCCCAAGTAGATCATGTCTTGGTAGATTT